CCCCATTTTAGAGAGAGTGAGAGATGGAGATGAAATAAGGGGGCGGTGACCTTTTTTTTTCATAAGTATCGAATATAACTCGCCTCGCCACAAGGCCATGGCCAAGTAACTTGGCCAAAGCTGATTGGACTTGACCAAGTTTCGAAACACAAATTGGAAGTAATAGTTCTCATTACTCAATTGAAATGAGTTCAAATGCATTATTTTCATCTTGTAGTGCCTTGGATTGGTGGTTTAATTAATCAGTATTTAAACATGTCTTAGATCTTTTCTTAATCAATGGAACATAAAATTGCTAATTTGATACTTAATAATTTGTTTTATAAGGAATGGACCATAGACAATGTCATTGTTCCGATTGCAAGTCAGTTTGGTGTTAAACATGAATACACCTACTTGAAACGTTCCATTGAGGAGTTTGCGACAGGTATGGTTGTTAACATGCGTGCTACTGATATAACACTCTCTCTCTCTCGCTCTCTCTATATGTGTGTGGCTAAGTGTGCACCTGCTCCTTTGCAAACACACAGCCACATTGCAAACACGCACACATACAAAGTGTAGCTCATAGTTGAACGTCATGGTTCTTACATGGTTAAATTTCATTTCTTAATATTTTAGTTGTCTCCCTTATGGAATTGACTATGTAAAGAGATAAATTACGTAAGGCAAAGGCATTTGGCTGAAAACGTTAAGGGGAAATTTATCAAATAACTCATGAGAGATGAATAATTTAATGCTTTACCTATATCTTCATTTTTATAATCCGAGACTTATATCAACTATTTGGAGTCGGCTACATGAATGTTGTTTCGTCATTCTGCTATATCAAAATCTATTCCTTTAGTCAAATTATAAGTCAACATATGTCTTCTTACTTGTTCCATACATGTCTTTTTGGCATTTCTCTTGCTCTTTTGGAGCCGTCTACTTAAATCAAATTGCCCCTCCTAACCAGTGTTGTTTTTGGTCGATGCTGCATAAAAAATTACATGATCTTTATTTGAAATAGTTGCCAATAGATACAATGTTAAATAATTCATCTCTTATGATTATTTTAATAAACTTCCAAAATGTTAGGTTCACATGCTTCAATCTTCTCGATAAGGTTAGCAATACACAGTCTATTGAGCAGTTGCAAGTTGTTTCAGGGAGAGAACTAGAGGAATTGGCATCCAATGTGGGGTTTTCTGAGGCCAAGCACTATGAATTCCTTGGTGGTTTTATGGGAAATTTGGTTGCTACTCGTTAAGAGAACTTTACATAAAGATACACAAGTTATGAGACATTTGGATTGAAGGTTATTATGGTGTTGTAACGGTCCCCATGAGATGGCTCCAAATATGTAATGGTTGGATAGTGAAATAAAAAAATGCACAATACATTTTAGAGGACCCAATAGACTGTGAATGGGGTTGGGGCATTGGTACCTAGGGTGAATGCCATAACATAATGTCCCACCATCAATTTTCACTGTTGACATATCATTAAAAAAAAAAAAAGGAAAAAAAAGCAAGAAAGAGGCTGAATTGGACTGAAGTCTTGGGCTTCAACCCAAATTGAGTCCAATCCTAATATTTCAAACAGGGAAATTCAAGTATGGATCCAGTTTCTGGAATTGACAAAAAAAAGAGATCTATATTTTTTAACATTTTATGTTGAGGCACAAAAAATTTGGATCTTTTTAACTCTCATTTTAACTTGAAAGTTCCAATTTCAACCGACAGGTCTGAAAGTAACAAAAAATTGAATGGCACTTTGGACGTCCAAACTATTTGCAGGATTGTAAGGTTCCGAACTTTGAACGGCCCACTACACTTAGGATGCTTTTGAGGGTTTAGACTCGAAGGTGCGAAGCCGATTCTAAATAGTTGGATAAGACTCGGATGATGATAACTAACTGAAAAGTGTGTCCCACCTAGCCTATTTCAAACTTGGGCTGTCCAAAATTTTCACTTTCAAATTGCCCCAACTCCTTGTCTTTGTTTAGAGTGGTCGGAAAGTCTACCCTAAACATGCACAAGAAAAAAAAAAAAGTGTAGGCTAGTGCAAATTGCTTACTAATTTATTTTTTTAGAACATTCGAGTACGACTCTTGAGCTCGACCCAAAAACACAAATTAAAAAAAACAAAAGAAAAACGTAATTGTTGGGCTGGACAGAACCTTTCGACTGCTCACCGTATTTCGTTGTGGGCTACGAAACATGGACATGTGTCAACACTTGGTAGCATGAATGTACGTGTCAACGTTCTTAAAAATGCACATGGCACTTTAACGAGTGTCTAATAGTGTGCCCTTGGGAAAGGGGCATAGGTTGTGGTGGTAGCACATCATGTTGTGGTTTTTATCCCCATTAAGAGCTTTAAAAATCACTAATCAATTTAAAAATAAGTAAGGCCTTGAATTATCCAAAAAAATAAAAATAAGTAATGTCTTTTTTTTTAAACACATTTCAATTTTGGAATTTGGCTTTTTTTATTATTTAGAAACATCATTATGTAAGGAATACAAATAGTTCATTTTTTAAAAAAAATCGAATAATAAAAGTAGTTTAGAATAAAAATATTTATCTTTTCTATTGAGGATGCAAATGGTGTGATCATATGATTTTGGATCCATACCTTGGGACCCTACTATTGGAATCTACATGCTCCGCACATCATTTGAATTCTTTTTAATTAAATTAGAAGATTTTTAATAAGGTTGTGGTTTACATAAGGCTGCAACTTTAAATAATCAAAATATGGTGCACCATCAAATTTTACAATTTTAGTGTAAAAACTCATAGTATATCTTAAGATATATTTGTCATGGTGATGTGTTGCCAACTTAACTTTGCCAACTTAACTTATGTGATGAGTTTAGATGTCACTGGTCTAGAGATACCTAGTGAAGAGCAATGGCGAAAGTTTTCCACTATCAAGAACATGTAAGAATAGCCCATGTAGCTTATATAGAATTCGAACAAATGAAACTTAAAAAATAAAATTTTTATAATTTCACTGATAAATTGATACTATACTTATAAAAGTATAAATAATTGATTAAGATTTAAAGTTAATATTTAACTAATATTAATATGAAGTAAACTACTATATAGGACAATATAACATGTCGTTTTCTTGGTGGCACTATATTGTGCTACCCACTCAACTCGTATTAAATTATTTTAAAGAAGTATTAATCTTAAATAAACTATTGTCTAGAGCTGTTAAATACATCGTTTTTATGATGGCA